ACCTTTGGCCAGTGTCCTTTTGTTTGTGCCTTCCATAAAGCATATATGGATTTTCAATTATTATTAATATTGAGAAATGGGGAGTAAGGGGGCAGACACGAAAGACCAAAATTGCATGCTGGCTGCAGGCATATGAGCAGGTGCACTCTCTAAGACGAAAAATGCATCCCTCAAGAACATGTTCTGGTATTCAAGATCACTTCCATTCTTCTTTCAGAAAGGTCATGGCATATGAGGACGCCAACCTTGTTCACAGAGAAAACGCACTGCTTTAGTTCCTCTGTGAGATCGTCCACGGGTTCTTTTCATCCTCAGGTTTATGCCAGCCTAATTGATGTGCATGTAAATAATGCATATTGTGACTGTTGCAGACTGTTGATGCTGTCAATTTTTTTTCCAGCAGATGTGTCTTCTAACTTTTCAAAGATATGTAGGAGCATTTCAAAAATTGTGCTGATGGTTGTCCCATTTACATGGGGACTTGGATGGGTCGGGGTGAGTGGGGTGAGGGGGGAGGGAGTGAGGATCGGAAGGCGATCTCTTAATGGTCATGCAAATAGTAGGATCTGGTTGCTTATCTATAACACCTTGAAATTAGCTCTCATATCGTCATAATTCTTGAATTGCCTCTTACTACCATGAAGCGTTGTCACATGGCCATCTCTTTCCTGCGTTCTTCTAACATTACTGAAGGCAGTTATATGCTTTACGCTCGGCACACACGCACTTTGCAAATTCTCACCTCTTAGGTATGTCACATAAACTGAGGCTTTGTGCGCGTCAGCAGTTTTGGAGTAAAGGGCGGACCTTTTTTCTTCTTTCATGATTTAATGTCATTTACCAATTTCTATTGATGTCATATTTCAGCTTGTAACGTCATATTAAAAAGAGAAATTGTGTGTTTTATATTTTAATGTTGTTATGTTCACATTTGACATTTTATACCGGTTATGTCAAAGTGGTACAATAAGCCACATTTGAATATAAGATGTTCACTTTCGAGGGGGGTTAATATCATAATAAAACAGTAAACTGCTTAATTCGTTGTGAAGTAATGTGCACTCGTGCCTTTTTATTGGCTTGTAATTATCCTTCTTGCAAGTCCATTATGCACTTTGCTAACTGTCTGCGTATTTTTATTTCGACGCCTCAACAGGAATGATACGTTATGTCAGTATGCATTACTGCGACTAGGACTCGCCCACCTTATGACAGCTGTGCAAATAATGGTTGCAGATTTCTAACTGCTTACAGAGACTTCATGAGTGTCATACAAAAGTAAAAGACGCCTCCAAAAGATGATCAAAATATTCGAAATGATGCTTCGCAAAAGAAATGTTTATCTATCTATCTACCGTACCTATCTATCTATCTATCTATCTATCTATCTATCTATCTATCTATCTATCTATCTATCGGTCTGTCTGTCTGTCGGTCTGTCTGTCTGTCTGTCTGTCTGTCTGTCTGTCTGACTGTCTGTTGGTCTGTCTGTCTGTCTGTTTATTTGTACTTGAATTTACACCTTTTCCTGATCAAATGTAGAGATAGTGAGCTTAAAAGCAGTCATGAAAGTTCCAATACCAAAATTGTCAAATTATTCATTCAAGATAAATAGTTGAAATTAAATACAATTGAAAACGTAAGGAAATGTCACCTCAAATATAATCGCAGGATTGGCCAAAATGTGAAGATTCGGGAAAGGAAATTCGTCACTTTCAATTCTAATGCAACACAGGAAAGTTTAAATTCACCAACTCAAAAGCTACGAAACTACGAAGCTACGATGCAATCATTATCTCTGATCAAAACTGAAGGCCTTATTAATTGCAGCAAAAAGCAGTAAAGTACTAAAATGAACAAATAGTAACACGGACACGATTTCAATTGGTCAACCAAATGTTGCGGCTACTGTGAACAAATGTTCTGTTGTAAGAGAGAGAGAGAGAGAGAGAGAGAGAGAGAGAGGAATACAGAGAGAGAGAGAGAGACAGACAGACAGCGAGACAGACAGCGAGAGGCAGAGAGACAGACAGACAGACAGGCAGGCAGACAGACAGAGACAAAGAGATAAGATGAGTGTGCCCAAGAATATATAATACATGTAGAATGAGCTATTATGTACTTAAATCTATGTGTTGAATTTGGACTGACAATGTTGAATTTGGACTAAAATGCTGAATTTTAACTAAAAATGTTGAATTTGAACTGAAAATGTTAGAATTGAACTCGTGCATGACGTCACAAATTGTCCTTGTTGAATTTGAACTTTCCATGGTAAAATTTCATAACGTATACTAGGGTGACCCAGGCACCCCGTGGTGACTAAGGACTGAGTAAAATGTTCTGATAATTAAGATTGCTTTTTCGGTATCAAAAGTGATTTTTAATCTTTTTGAATGCATTTATTTAAACGTGTAATTAACCTCTGGTGTATTTTCACGACAATCCCTTATCGGAAACATTTTTGAGGACCTACGGCTTATTTTAAGATGGCTATTGTCAGCATTTGAAATCGACTTCGTAAAGATTCTTGCAACTTTTGATGAGTAGCTCCTAATCTGTCGCTCTTAAAATATTTTAAGGTAAGTATTAAGCTCTTAGACAGTTAGCTGAGCCGTAGAATGTGTGTATGTGAAAGAAAATAAATAAAGTTAGGTTTTGACAGGGGATGCCTTAAAGGCCTTACACGTCTACGTTCCAAACTGCCAGTTCGGACTCGAAAGGCAAACCTGGCGGAAGAACCGCAGATGTGGATGAAAAACTGCAGGAAAAAAACCGTTACTTAAACCGGGAGGCCGAACCGGCGGTTTCAACATGTTGGATTTTCTGACTACAGTTCTGGCGCTCATATGACCTTATGCAGTTGCGAGCGCCGTAAAACCTCTACTAAAACTAAACTAAAACTAAACGACTACAGTTCCACGAGTTCCGACAGCCTTAGTGTGACGTCACCGGTTTAGCCGGCTTTTCTTGTCACTGTCATTATCTATATTTACTATACATAAAATCTTATAACATTTTTTAAACGAACTACCCAATATTAAGACGATATGCGAGCAGAATTTGTAGTGTTTTTTTCAATAATTAAATAGAAAACAAAATTCCACGGACATAATGTACATTCACTGGAGGGCAAAGGGGTCCAGTACAAGGTTGGCCTCTGTGTCACAATGCACGGTACATCTAAAGAATACAGTCTAATTGTGCGCACAAGCTAAACAGTTAAACATATTGCAAAATGGCAACATGGTTGAAAGAAAAAAAAATCTTCAATTTATTGAAATTTACAGATCCTGTGACAGCCTTTGGAAAATAAAATCAAAAGACTATTCAAATCTCAAATTGTGTACGGTGCCGGTACTTGTTGAACCGTCTGGAATTCTTGACCTTACTGTGACATTTTAGGAAATGAAACCAGTGTCCTGACAAATTGTAAAGAATATCTTTTTACATACAGTATCAGTAGCCATATATATGTTTCTTGTTTTTGTTTTTGCTATTGTCTTTTTTTTCACATCGAATATACATTGTATAGACAACATGCCACGAAGCGTCACAAATCGAAGCCTGGGGCGCGAGTTTATGACAGAACTTCTAATGACGTACTCCAAAAAGCACAGGACTAGCATGCTGCTGGTACTTCTCGGAAGGGCGTGTGTACAAAGTACGGAATCACACTCTGGGTGTTTCAAAGATATCGGAAACTGAACCCAGAGGTTGAGGGTCGACCATCTCCTGGAGGCTACATTGTTCTTTCACACCACCAGGATAGGGCCAGGGTAGAGCTCCTCATTTTCATTTCAGAAAGGGGCTTTCCATATGACACCCTAGACCTGGGCATAATCGTCAAAAGAATTCTTAACATACCGAGTTACAAAAAGGTCTAAATAAACATTGTTCAACCATCACCCGAATTTGAACCCAAAAGTATCAATTAGAACTCATGAGTTTTTAAATTATGAAGGTGAAAAGGGTCACACTGGTTTATCGTAGCTTTACTTTGATGTTTGAGCTTGCTAGTATTACATTTCTTCCTCTAGTTTGGTGTTTGAATTTCCTATGTTGATTTTGACGTGATCATGTTGAACAAATTCTGTTACATATCGTTTGAATTGTATGAACTGATATCTGATTGGGAAAAGACGCTTATTATCAATGGTATCGATGCTGATGGTATCAAGTAAGCCCAAAGCTAGACGCTCAAAGTAGTATAAGAAAATATAGGCCCAAAACCAGTGACGTCATGTCACATATTACAAGCTGTGCACATGGTCATAATTATGTGTGTGAACTAGCTTCCCAGAGATAATAGGCAATGACCCACGGTACGTCGCGTGAAAGATGAAATTGGCTTTCTAAGTTGCACAATACATGTGCAGGCCTATCTATGTGTAGGCAAACCATGAACTGACGGTGACGACTCTCTCTAGCTCGCAACTGGTATATTATATATAATATGTGCTTTTCCCTGTCTCTTTCTTTTGTTTCTCTATCAGAAAACATGTAAGAATGAAATACAAGACACAGGCCTCTGTGGTGCAAGGCTTTGGCACTTCGCCGTTGCATGCAGAAGATTCGAGTTCGATTCACTTAAGTGGTGAAAATTTTAATCGAGTTCTATGTATGCGGGTCTTTCTACTGAGACGCTGTGTCCCTCCCGGTATAGGTTGATCTTGACAGGCAGTGAAGAAGCCCGCCTCCAAAATGATCTGAATTGTGTCGATGGGGATAGGACAACGCGTACTGAAAAACAAAGAAGAAATGAAGCAACGCTAGACTGTTTTGAGGTTAGGTCTTACGAGTGCATGAGTTTTGGAACTTTGGAGTGAATAAGAGCGTAGGTGAGCGTGAGTGTGTGCATTCTGAGTCTTCATACAACAGCTCGATTGAAGTAATCACAAAATCTAAAACAAGTCAGAAAGCACTGAATGTTTCGACCCACTTAGCCTCATTCTCGACAAAAGCTCAACTTAAATTCATGAATCAAAAACTCAGAATTATGTTTTGCGATTTCCCTTCGGGTTTCCGGTACTTTTAATGCTGTGAAAATGACTGGCATACATCCATTGAGCTGGATTCAAAGAAAAGAAAATCATTGATTAATATTGCGGCAAAGGTTGCTTTGCATGTTCACTGTCAAATAATAGTGAATGCATTTAAATCACGGGCAACTGTCTACAGTGAAATCGAAAAAAAAACTAGTAATTCATCTTTTCTCAACACTGTGTTTTCACGTGGTGTTTCAACAATTATGCAGAAACACAAAAAATCCCTTTATGCAATTATAATTACCGTCCGAAATATGGGTGCCCTGAGGCACTTCTAGGTGACAATAATTATCTCAAGTACACAATCAGGCATTCTGAAAGTAAAGATGATACTCGTGCTGAAAGCTGTCTGTGCCGCTGGTCTGCCCCATACTCTTAAGGTGATCGATCTCCATTGTTTTGGTTGCCACAAAGAGTTCGACCAGGTCTTTGCCCAGGGCACCCACCAGCACCGCGTCCTCTTTTAGGCAGGTCAAGGCTGTCTCAAGGTCCGGGGGAAGAAGGCAGAATTCTTCGGTCTGAGATGGCAGGGGTATCTGAGAATGAAAGAATAAGAATAATGTTAAGATTGCTAGATAGTAATGACAGAGATGGTAATTTAATATTGGTGAAAACAAGAGAGCAATAACAGTAACCATCGCCATCACCATCATCACCATCACCATTATCATCATCATCATCATCATCATCATCATCATCATTATCATCATCATCATCATCATCATCATCATCATCATCATCATCATCATCATCATCACACACACACACAAACACACACACACACACACACACACACACACACACACACACACATACACACGTGCACACTCACACCGTGACGGCCAGCATAGTATGCCACTCGTAACCATTCCCTCGTACTGTTACAAGGAAGCTGGAGCATTTGCCTATACCCGTTCTCGCAATTGTTGCGAACTCGGACCGATTTTTTCGGGTTGAAGGAAAGCAACAGCTGATACAGTGAGTTTCTGAAAAACAGTTTTTGTAATTTCCCTAGAATGTTTGCCAACTCTGTGCTGTGAAGCGTGCATTTTCGACTTTTTTCTTCGTTCTATGTGTAAACAATTGCTAACATCAAGCAAGTTTTTGATGGCAAAAATGCGGGTTAATTTACTAAAAATCACCAAAAAACAAAAACAAAACAAAAACAAAAATATTTCAAATCCTATTTTATTTTCACAATGTGTATCCATTTGTTTCAGCCCATGGGCAAAAGCACGGATTTCACTTCATAACTTTGGTGAGGCTGATAGCTTTAAGGGCTGGTGGGGCACCTAGAAATCTTGTTTTGGGGCCAATTTATGCAAATTGGGGTTATTACATATGATAGTACCTGGACATTTCCTGAACAATATCCAGAAACGTATGCAAGCTTTGCTACACCCTATTCTCACAATTCTATTTTTTCACACATTATCCCATTTTTCTACCCTGTTTCTTGTTCAATTTCAATGTAACTTTAACAGCATGCCAACAACACCTAGTTCTAAATTTTGGCTTGTTGAATATTTTAAAATTAATGTAGTAGTTTTTTAATTTATGGGCTTAGAAAGCATGAATTTTCCATTTTTTCATTTTTTTTGCAACAACCCAATTGTAAGTGACATAAAATAAAAATTAAAGCAAATATAAAAGATCCAACAAGCCAAATTTAAGACCTATATGTTTACTGTTGGCATACCAAATTAGAAGTTAATCGATTAATAAATAAGGGAATAAAATTGGATTGAAAAAGGTATACAAAATCCAATATGGCCGCCGTTTCCATAGCAACCGATTCAAAATATACTTTTTGAAATATAGATTTCAAATCCCCAATAGCACACAATGTCCCACACCAAATATGGCCTTGTAATAACCAAAATAGACCTCAGGTGCCCCACCAGTCCTTAAAATACCATTAGAATGGGCGGGCTGTACGGTCGGACTAATACATACATAATGAGAGGGAGTCATTAAGCGCACCTTGTTCCTGATCCCGTCTATACCGGCGGCCACTGTGGCAGCCATGACCAGATAGGGATTGCTCGCTGAGCTGGGGAGTCTGTCCTCAATGAAGATGTTGTCGCCTCGACTTTTCCGCACCACAAAAGTTGCATTCTTGTCCTGCACAGACCAATCGCTCCGTGTTGGGAGCCTTTTCTGTCCCATGCGTCTGTCGTACAATTCAGACCACAGATGTAATTCTATTGTTGTTGTTGTCATTTAATATGTCTTTCTTTTTTACGTTCAGAACATGACACAAAAGGGATTAAAGCTTTCGAAATGAAGCGTCAAAGAAAAACTCTTGAAATACCGTTCAGCCGGTTACAAAGGAAAGAAGAGATGTTGAATAAAAATCCTTATAAAAAACAAAACAAGTATTCCTCCAGAGCATGATGGAACCGAGACCGAACTCTTTTGGGCATTTCAAACGCTATGATTCACACGATAAACAAATTTAGGGAGCAAATGTGGAGGCAAGGGAGAAGCTGGTAAAACTACTAGAAAGGTTGAGAAGAAGAAGTAAACCTAATAAATAACACCAAGCACAAAATAGAACATTTCCAAAAAGTAACATAATCATAACATAGTACTCAGTCAACAAAAACTGCTGAACAAGTCGACCCCGACTTTGGAAAATGCATTTCTTACTTATTGGATTTGTGAGCGAAATTTGTATCTTTGTTCTTTTTGTGCGTTTTTAGAAAACAAACACATGTTGTTTTGATGTCCTTTAATTTAGGACAGAGGAGAAACACATTTTAAATCATTTGTTAAATCTTAGACACCGTCTCACCAAAAATGATACTAATCGCAGTCTTGAGTTGTCATAACATTTTCATGACCAAGTCCGGTATAGAAAAGACCCTTCCCCTACCCCCACCCCCATCCCATGCAATTGCTTTCGGATACTAAGCCTTAAACTGTATGGCAACGAACATACTTTTTGGTAGAAGCGTTATCAAGGACACTGGGAACAAAATAATGCTTTGAATAAAGAAACCATGCATTTTAGCACAGAATAGGATGATCCCGAAATGTAAGGACTTCAATTGACGTTAAAACTCTTCACCCTGTGGTTGGGCTGAAGGGTAAACACTAAAACTTCAAAATAAAAGAAGTCGCAATTTTAAGTATTAATTCGAAGTGAATAGAAATGACACCAGTTAACTGTAAGTTTTGGCGATTCACCAACAAAACTTTTTCAAACCAGGCAGGGTCGTTCTTTTCTTTTTATACAGTTTCCAGTGATGTAGATTCATTCCAATCCCAGAATGACTTGCATTTGGATATTACTTCCCCTAATCCCAGCTTATGACATCCCCCCTCCTCCCCCGAGTTTCCATCTGTGACATGTATCTTTCATTTCCAGCCATATTATTATAATGTTATGCTGATGTCAACGTTAACCGACTCCGCGATGCCTGTTTCTAATACAACAAAATCTTTCAACACAAAAACATTCATTGTAGGTTCAAGTCGCTTATGATTGATATTGACCCTGATCCGTTTTGGTCAGAAGGTTTCTTACCGGTAACAGTTCACTGTGGGTGAACAAAGAGCTGTCAGACCTGGTCCATGTTTGACAAGTCCAGCTATCCAGTGCCGTGCCACATCTGACAGCTGGTTGGTGGATAAGAAAAATTTTAGTGTAATGAAAGAACGGATTTGCCTGTAAATTTGTTGTGAATTGCTCCTGTTCACATCCCGAAGGCGCCTTACATTTTATCATATAAAATTTGATGAATGAAGACCCAAAAATTATATTGATTTCAGTCACTGAATTTGAACATTTATGAGGATTTTTTTTCGTTATGTCCTAATGGTGAAAAGGTTATGCCATAACGAAATACAATGATTAGGTTTGCTTTGCTATCGTCGTCGTAAAAGTCATGGGACCGTGAGAGAAAAAAGGAACAGCTTTGTATTTACCCCCTCGCCCAAGATCAAAGTTGAAAAACAGAGTGTTAACTATACTTCCTGACAGCTGGTTGAACGTGCATAAGAAACTGGCGTTCTAGACCGGACATTCCGCGTCAAAGGTATATTGTGTTGTAAGGAGGAGACAGAAATATTATAATTAATGTATATAAAATACAGTCAAGAAGTCTCGAAATCAAACATAAATCAGCCCAACGACTTTTGTTCAGTGTACATAAATTTTATGAATACCATTTTAAGCTAATTTGTTTTGTTTAATTGTTTTCCCGTAAATGCTACAAAATAAACCCAGTGACATTGAAATATAAAGTAAGGATCTAATTGCATTTTGGAGAGGCAGCAAATGTCCACTGTGCGCATTGGGTTTTAAAAAAGGGGAAAAGGGCATCCCAGTTAATAATAATAATAATAAATAATAAATAATAAATAGCATTTGTATAGCGCATATCCCCGCTCAACAGCAGGCTCTATGCGCTTTACACTATATTATTACCCCAGCAGACCATAGAACGTTCCGAAACATTCTCAGCTTCCCGGGAAGCATACAGTGCAAGCAGCTGATTAAGCGCTCAAACACTAACAAACTGACAAGATCTTTCGCTGTCTATAGCTGGGTACCCATTCCCACCTGGGTGAAGTGAGGAAAATTCGTGTAAAGTGCCTTTCCCAAGGACACAACGTTAGTTGTGATAGCAACAATTTTCAACCACACCAGAGATGTAATGTCAAGTCTCCGTAGTCTCAACCCAGGAAATCAACCTCTTTTGCTTTCGTTACCGCCCAAATCTTCCCGTACGCTCGTGAAACATGGACCCTTACAGCAGAGTTAGACAGAAAGATACAAGCTACGGAATTGAAATGCTTTCGAAGACATCTGGGCATCTCCTACAGAGATCATGTTATAAATGGGGAAGCGGGGAAAAGAATCAGATTTGCCAATAGGCCCTATAAAGATCTTCTTTCCACTTTGAAAAATGACCATACAGTGTACAAGGAGGGAGAAGGAAAGTTAGACAGAAAAAGAGATGGAAAGACAACATAACAGAATGGCCATTGTTTAAAGTTGAGTGAAGCCCTCCGAAAGGCTGAAAATAGAGAAAAATTTCGAAAAGTGGTTGCCCTACCATTCGTGGTGCCCCATCTATCATCCAGACTAAGTAAGTAAGCAAGCAAGCAAGCAAGCAAGCAAGCAAGCAAGCAAGCAAGCAAGTAAGTAAGTAAATAAGTAAGTAAGTAAGTAAGTAAGTAAGTAAGAAGGAAAGAAAGAATCCACCGAGAAATCTCAGACAACAGCCTTAAAGCCTTAAAAACGTAACATTTGGGACGTGCAGAGAATATTATTTATAGTGCTATTATCACATAGGAAACAGGCTTCGCTAAAGTTATGGTTAGTCACGCCACAGTCAAGACCAGAGACATGGTCGGGAGGTTCTAGGTTAGGTGTTGGCCTCTCATTCAAAGGTCCCGGTTCGAATCCGGGTAACGACCCAAAAATATTCTTCTCTAAAATTGTCTACTTTCACCTCCCTTCCTGCTTGCTCTCTAGCAATGTTCTGTCGTTTGCTCTCCTTTTCCCCCTCCTCTGGGCTCCTGACTCTTTCTGCGGCGAGCGCCGTAAAACACTTACAAAAAAGACATTTTCAAGACTATTCACTGAAAATACTACAACGCCGCGTTGGCATCACGTGACATGTCCACGCGTGAGTAGTGCGTGTGCCGGGAACCGTAGGTTTTTGACGTTGCGGGGTCACACAATTTCTTTCACACTGCATGAAAGCGTCTTATTAGGATTTATCAGTGGAACTTAGGGTAGTGGGTGGATTAATGGTATTCACAGATATCGAGTATATATTGACGTAGAATATAACTTGGAACCAAATTAATTATTCTAGATATTTGATTGAAGCTGAACTCTGTGCAAGATGGCGCGCATTTAAAGGACGCTCAATATGATCAGTCACACATTTTTGCAGCATCAGGTCTCGGATTTATTTCGTGATTATTCGTTGTAAGGTTCAGAGACATTCGGGCTCACAGCATCAGCAGCAAGGAAACTGTAGAGCTCCGTAAATGGATGCCTAAGAAGGATAGTGGGGATCAAGTGGTACGATCGAGTCACAATTGCTCAACAGTGGGAAAGAACAAGCCAAAGGCCAGTAAAGGAAGACACACAGGTGAAGAAATGGAAATGGATTGGACACACCCTGAAGAGACCCCCGACAAGCATCATCAAACAGGCATTGACGTGGAACCCACAAGGAAAACGTAAGAAGTGAAGGCCAAAGATGATATGGAGGCGAGCGTACAAGCGGAAATTGAAAAAGCGGGGACATCATGGAAACAGCTAGAAAAGGACGCACAGGAAAGGCTTTGCAGGAGTAATGTTGTTGATGGCCTATGCTCAACTGGGAGATACAAAGGGCAAGAGATAGAGAGATAGATAGATAGATAGATAGATATATAGATAAATAGCTAGAAAGAGAAAGAGAGAGAGAGAGAGAGAGAGAGAGAGAGAGAGAGAGAGAGAGAGAGAGAGAGAGAGAGAGATAGAGAGAGAGAGAGAGAGATTCGCTGTTTTCATATCACGCACACAGCGAAAAAACTTGCCTTCCCAGACGTTAGATCTAAACACACACGACTACAAATTCTATTATCAAAAGTTGCAGTGTAGAGAGAGAGAGAGTGGTGTGTGTGTGTGTGTGTGTGTGTGTGTGTGTGTGTGTGTGTGTGTGTGTGTGTGTGAGAGAGAGAGAGAGAGAGAGAGAGAGAGAGAGAGAGAGAGAGAGAGAGAGAGAGAGAGAGAGAGAGAGAGAGAGAGAGAGAAATTGTCGACATGTATGTCAGCGCGCTGCCTCTTCAAAAGAAACTATACACTACACAATAACGTGCCGGCCTTTTGCAAAGTTAAATGAATTGAATGTTAGGTAATGTTGTTGTAGGCCTAAAGAGGCGATCGTGCAAAAGACCTAAAAAAAAAAAAAAAAGGAAAAGGGGTTCTCAGTTGAGGTGAAACTGCTGATCCTTGCAAAGGTGCATGAAACATCAATGGTAAAAACCCAATTCTGCCAACCTTAACGACTATGCACCCCAACAAGCTTTGGCATTGGGGGCCTAATTCACGTAGAATTTTGATCCATCTCTCCAACCGTGTCTATATCCCTTGATAAACCTTATATTCGTACATTGTGAGATTCATTCATAATGAAGAGATATCCATGACCACCCCCAACCCCCCGCTGGATTTCGCAAATGTCTTCTCAACAAAGAGGTTAGTACCAGACTCCATTTCAATGCCAGAGTTTCAGCTTAACAGGATACCGCTCCTCCCCCCCCCCCACCCATAGTTCTTGTCATTATCTCAAGACTAATTTCGGTGTCTATGAAATACCCTTCTTTACCTGCAAAGATATTATTATAATTGTTCAGACTATGTGGTACGCTTTTTTGGTCTTGTCATGCCTTGGTATTGCTAACTTCTATTCTGAAAGCGACATTTCAAACACATTCTTGTACAATGCGTATTTTTCTAAATGGCCGCAAATGTCACGTGACTGCATTGACACAATTATTACGTAAAAGTATCATTTCTACACTTCTGAACATTTTCTGAATATTTGATTTCAATCTTGCTCTTTTTCCGAGAGATGTTGAGACTTTTGTAACGTGTTTATTTTACCATGTCCTTTGTTGTTGTTTTTTTTCTTTTTTTTTGGGGGGGGGGTGGGTGGAATATGTAATAGGGTTTTGACTATAAGACTAATTAGTCTTCCTTTAGTGTGAATTTGGTGGGTACTGCAAATTAATTGTCCGCAGCACTAAAAATCGAATTTCAAAGTGAAGAGCAAAGGGTCGGTAGCTTGTAAGAGTAGATATACAAAGGGGATTGGATTAGGGGTGAAAAAAATGGGGAAAGGGGGGGGGGGGGACAATTTGAGCTTAAGATTCAATTAAATAAAAAATTATGTTTATAAAAAAGATTTACCTGGTCTTCTCTTGAATTGTCAAGTAAAACACTTGCCGCATCCAACGTCCAAAGTGAATGGTTGAAGTGCATTCCAATCCCGAAATGCGCTGTTTTGTCTACCTTTGACATAAAAGAAGCTACGTAGCCTCTTCTCTTGGAGAATGTTTTTACGTGACTTTTGAACAGCGCTGTGCCATCGGCTGCCTGTGAAGTCAAGGAACATCATTGTGTCTCAGAAGCAGAGCTTTTTATCGAAGAATTACAATACAACACACACACACACACACACACACACACACACACACACACACACACACACACACACACACACGAAGACACAAAGACACACAGACACATAGACACATACACAGACTCATACATAGACTCAGACACACAGACACACTCACACACGCACACACACAATTACACACACACACACACACACACACACACACACACACACACACTCACTCACTCACACACACACAATGTGGCACAGATAATGTGTTAATTTATAATTGACAGACTATTGAAACATTACTTTAAAAAATGCAGGGAGTCTAAAAAAGAGGACTCACTTATAGAGCAATAACTAAGCCATCTCTGCTCTAATTTCAACCAAACTTCAAAAACATCCAAGGGAACGTGAAGTTTATACATATGAAGAAAATAACTTAACATGTTCGAGAAATATCAAGTTTTTGAAGCTTCAGACCAAATTGGGTAAAACGCAAAGTGTTCAGCTCCAGGGGAGTGATCCTCTCGATCCGGTTGAAGGACCTGGACGGTAAAACTACGACAGTCACATCACATAATATGGGTAACTCACTGTACTGAGAAAATTTTGGAAAAGTTTGGGGAGGAGAATGTGTTATGCTGTAAAGGGCTAGTTCCAGTGTGTTGGGGGCCACATCCCGCACGTAAAGAGTGTCCATTGTATGGTTGCAAGAAAGGTTTGTGGAACACCTTAAAAGCCAAACGTTTACAAATGAACCCTTATCACATTTCTCCAGACTTGAGCCATTTCAATTTTATTACCTTTGAGGTTTTGGGAAAGACAGAGTCTACGGGAAAAGCCACTAACAATCGAACAGTTGAAACCCGTTTCGAAAATGATACCCAAAGAATGGGCCTAGAGGCACACCACAAGGTTATGCAAAATTGACAGTTGCGTTTTGGAGCATGTAAGGAGAGAACTGGTTAATATCTGGAGATTTAAATAGCTGTCACCTCCCTGAGTTCATATCGCAATATCAATTTTGTATAATTTGCTCTTCTATGCACAAAATAATAGGTCTATTTTGAATAAAATAATATGGTTAAGAAGTTTTTCGAGCATGTCGATTGATCTTTTTTGTATTGAGAAGTGTAAAGTTCCCTTAGTTTAATTTTATTTCTTCGAAATTTTGTCAAAATCGGTCCAAAGATGACCGAGTTATTACTCTTCAAATGGGTACTCTTTTTTAGACGCTCAGTATGAGAGGACAACTTTTAAGTAACATTTACTGAAAACTAATCACTGTCATGTGGTAAACAGATATCTCAATCAAAAGATACAACTAATGTAAATCTAAATTAAAACAATTTTCCCTCAATCTAGAAGTAAACATATAGAAAATATTGAAAGATTAAAAAGTATATAACGGCAAACCTGTTTCTTGTCCATAACACAATATTTGAGCACACTTAAAAGTATACTTGCCCACACTTAATATTTACACAACCAGTGTGATTAATAAGACGAAACAATAAAACAATCTACCGTTTATAAAGTTACCTTGACTTGTAGGCAACAATCTCATTTCGAAGTAAATGTAGATGCGGTTTTTAAAACACAATACTGTGTTTTAAGCTATAGCTGGATTAAACCAGGCATAGGTTTCAAAACTCTCTTAACTCGAGTTACAATATTTTCCACTAAAAACATACTATTATGTTAAACCGTTTTCTCGTGTGCAGCTTATGTCAAAACTATATACCATTAGCTCAAAAAACCAAAAAGTTATGCCCTAATGAAAATGTATCGTAGGTTTATTCAGTCGAATTCATGGCAACAAAAGTATCGTATCTTGACTTACTATTCTTTAGAAACCAAATGTAAGTCTATTTCAAATGCAAAAGTGGTAACATCAAATTACAATAGTTATGTTGCGATGGACTAGCAACGACATAATATAAAGATCATGTATGGTCGATTTTAAGCACAAGGGGCCTATCCCGAAAAATGCTGTTTTGAGAAAATCGAAGGTAAAGCTTTTGCCCCTTGTTCTGTTCCTTTAAAAGATAAGGAGAATTTTCTCTATAACCAAACACATATACACACTAATGAAATCAAACTTCTGTGATAGGTAGGGCAATGCCCACTTTTGGTGTTGGTCAAAATTTCTGGAAACCCCCGAAATCTGGGTTAGCCCGCTTGTCCTTAAAAGCAACCGTATATTATACTTACATCGTATCTCTGATTAAAAGAGAATCAAACATGTCCTCCTTGGCAGCAAAACTATCGTAACTTGAGATATGATATTATGAAATTCATAAAGAAAGTTTCTAAACAATCGTAACTCAATTTGTGATAGCTTTGTTGCCAAAACATCAGTGCCATAATATCGTACTTATATGGGTAGCTTTCAAACTGAAAGAGACACAATTTCAAAACATTCGTCAATATAACGTGCGTGTTTATTTAACCAGTAATATGGAGAAAAAAATCGCATCCCCAAATCATCTATGCGAAGAGAAAATCCCTTGTTTGTTTTTTGTTTTTTTCTGTCTTTTTTTTTTTTGTTACTTCTCCTGAATGATAGGGTTTTTAGATATGATAGTTTTAAATCCCAGGGCTAAAACAATCCTGTGGGTTTTGTTTGTCTCCAGCATTACCTCTATGCCTTCGGCGACATCCAGGGTGCCTTCAAAATAACAGTCTTCAGTCTCTGTCTCCAGAGTGTCTGTCGACACGTTCATCTGTTTGAGTTCATTCATCAAGTCCGTAAAGAATTCCTACAATGAAAGCATAAAACAAACTATTAGACTCTATGATTATGTACATTATGAGTTGCCTTACAAGAAAAGTATTGTGAGCGTTTTCCTGTACCCTCTGCGTCCCCTTTTACCAGTAATTATAAAGAACAGAAATTAATTATACATAGGGGCTGTGTAAAAAAAAAAATTAAGAGTAGCCGTACAACTTTGCAAAAATACACGTACATAAATGAGAATGATAATGTATTCATCTTTAAATAACAATATTCTTCTGCATGTATACACAATATTTAAAAAATCACATTAATTTTATTTATTGTGTGATGGTAAGAGATAAGGGCAAAGCAGTTAGTGAACTTTAACATTGCCACTATTCCACTGACCAGTTTCAGATCAAGGATGTCCACGCACGACCAGTGCCATGATTCAGTGGGGTCTGATTTTTGCCTTGGGTCGTGCAAAATAAACTCTATCTCAAATGAAGATTTCAGAACAAGTCCAAGCTCTCGTAGTTGATCTAGCTGTAAAACAGCAGCGGTCCGAGGAGAACTCCGATCCTTGGATATGTCAGAAAGGGTGATTTAATTAAAGGCCTTCGTAAAAACCGAAAAAATAGTAACAACAATAATAACAACAAAAGCAACAACAACAACAAAAAAACAACAACAAACAACAACAACAACAATAATGTATAATAGTAACAATAACAATAATGATAAAAATAATAATATTATATAATAGTAATAGTTTTAGTAGTAGTTGACTAGTAGTTGTAGTAGTAGTAGACTACTACTATTACCGCTACTACTACTACTACTACTACTACTACTACTACTACTACTACTACTACTACTACTACTACTACTACTACTACTACTACTACCACTACTACTACTACTACTACTACTAATACTACTACTACTACAACTACAACTACTACTACTACTACTACTACTACTACTACTACTACTACTACTACTACTACTACTACTACTACTACTACTACTACTACTACTACTACTACTACAAAACTGTATGCCCTTTACAATCTATTTTATTACCGCAGCAGCCCTGTTAGCATTCTGGAACGATCTCAACTTCCTGGGAAGCATACAGTTCAAGCTGCTATTTTATACGCGCGAAAATAGAGTGAGCGAAATTTCGCACGTCACTCATAATACATCCCACATAGACTCCAAGCTGATCTTTTTCTTGAACGTTAGCCACATAGTCATGTGACCCACATGCAAATTAACATGTTTTGTGACGTAAGTCGATGCCATCGAGTACCAGGATGTTCTTTGGACCCATAGACGTATGCTTCAACAAAATATTTTGCTATTGCCGGCCAACTCGCCACCCATGTCACCTGTGGTCCTAAAAGTGAGCTCCCAAAACGACATTAATATTGTACAACGACTGGGACAAGCATTGATTCAAGAGTGGAATGGACTGCCAAAACAATTAATTTTAAAAAGAAAATAAAACTTGGTCAAAGATTAAAACACCCAAAGTTTGCATCATTACAAAGGAAAATTCTAAGCAATATTAATTAATTTTGGAATTATCCGCTACTGACCTGAAACTTTAAAATCAAGGGGCACCAGTGTGAGCTTAACACTGAGCCACCACATGAGACATGATAAAAAAAAACCGAAAGGTAATACACTTCGTGACATACTTCGATTTCTGTTTAGTTTAGTTTTAGTAGAGGTTTTACGGCGCTAGCAACTTTATAAGGTCATAAGAACGCCAAGGGGTGGATGTCAACAGAGAAGTCCTTACAGGGATTCAGACTTACTCTGCTCACCTTTCTAGCTTCAAAAGCACAAAGACTGCTTCGACTATCAAGGCACCCCGGAAATAGTGGGTCACAAGAATGTGACAAACATACAAAAGAAGTTGAGGAAAAATGACAATAGTAAGGATTAGGAAAGAAAAAGCTGCAGTTCCCTGTTGTAGATCAGGCACCGTTATGAGCGTGACATTGATGAATTAGCCCATTTACAATTCTACTGTGCATGAACGAGAGATGTCCCCCCTTTGGGAATGGCCTTCAGTCAGTAGCACCGCCCCGGGGGGATTTGATGTCTGTGTCAATTTTAGTATTCATATTATGTTGAATAATAAGCACGATACAGGCTTCCCTCCAAGTGGAACGTTTCTATTGCTGCTGACAAGATTGCTCACTGTCTATGGCCGGGTATCCATTCCCACCAGGGGGAAGTGAGTAAAATTCATGTAAAGTGCTTATGACTCGTGAACGCCAACGAGGCGCACAGGAGTTGTGTGCCCGGCGGCCCCGCCTGTCAGCGTCTCACCATGTCACTTACGTTGGGTAAACAGTAAGCCTAATAATAGTTTTAATGCCCGACGGTCCATCTTGCGCAACCGTATCGCTTACGTCGGATCCTTTTTTCGCATAGTAGATCTATACACAGCGGCAATAGAAACTTTCTACTAGGAGAAAAGCTTGCATTGAGCTTATTATTGAACACATACGTGTAAAACGCTAAATTGACGCAGACATAATATTTCAAAGAATGTCAAGACGTGTATCACCATTTGTTTCTTGATCATGTTTAATGTGATGGCACCTAACGCCGATAATATCGGTGTGCGCGCACAATGCGCCAACTCTAACGCCGACAGTATCGGTATGGAAAATTTCGCCCTCTTGACCTAAAACACTACTTTTTTGTGAAGCAGACTTTAGCCTAATTAGAAGAGTAACCATTTTTCTTTTGAAACGGACTATGACCACAAGTGCAAAGCTATTTATTGAACCATGAGAGAGGGTGCGGAATTTTAACGCACTTCCTTTTTCCGCTTTTCGTTTATTTTTGGACTCTGTATAGACATTTTTCTACGAAGTATCGCATAAAAACTATGAACACCAACGTGACAGACCCGCCCTGCTCAGAACTCGTATGAGACACGTTGGCGTTTACGAGGTCTGTGCACGTCGATAAAACTCGAGCAAAAACCTTGCAATTCTTTGTAATTATCCTTTTTTACTACTTAAAACAAAACGTGAGAAGGTGAAGTTAATAGGTTTCCTAAAATATTGAAAATTTATGGAAGTAATCAGCTTTTTGCTCCTCCTGTAAATTATTGTCGGTGATGCTTAGGAGGTTTGTGCACGACGGTAACGTATTATTCTTTGAAAAGCGCACATTTATATCACGACAATTTTATTATTCTAAATATCTAAATGCACCCAGAAACAGTAATCCGTCTGTTTTCAACAATGGCGTTTAGAAGCTACTTACGAGTGTTCCATCGAAGAATTCAAGCTCACATAACACACGTCCAACGTTTTGTGGCGTTCCGAGTGGGCGAGGACAGGCGATAAGGGTGGACATGTCGGGCATGAGGAACTTGTCACGAATACCGGCATTAATGGAATGAAGAAGCATCGTTCCCTCTATTTCGGGGAAACATAGGTCTGGAAGAATTTGTTTAGCTGGTTTTAAAACTATATCCATTGATCAGTATAATATCTATCCATCAAAACAGTAAATTTAATAGATCTCTGAAAGGATTATCCCGTATCTATTCCACTGTTCTTGTCAATATGTATGTATGTATGTATGTATGTATGTATGTATGTATGTATGTATGTATGTATGTATGTATGTATGTATTTATGTATGTATGTATGTATGTATGTATGTATGTATGTATGTATGTATGTATGTATGTATGTATGTATGTATGTATGTATGTATGTATGTATGTATGTATGTATGTATGTATGTGTGTATGTGTGTATGTGTGTATGTGTGCATGTGTGCATGTGTGCGTGTGTGCATGTGTGCGTGTGTGCATGTGTGCATGTGTGCATGTGTGCATGAGTGCATGAGTGCATGCGTGTATGCGTGTATGCGTGTATGCGTGTATGTGTGTATGTGTGTATCTGTTTATCTGTCTATCTATCTATCTGTCTATCTATCTATCTATCTACCTATCTATCATTATTCTATTTTACATCCAACAGTCTTAGTTCTGGTTCTGATTCATTAAGACGATAATAAACTCGCACAAAAAGTCAAGGAAGAACTTGTGTTTTCACCTATCAAGTTTAAACTTCAATATCTGGCAAACCCATAAAGTTCAGTCAACCAAATTTAGCATACGCACTGACGACTAGACAAAGTTTGCCTGTACGACAAATTAGCCCGCACGAGCTTTTCAGCGACGGCGCAGGGCATGCCGAAAAACAGCCGAAGAGCATGAAAAATGGGTTACATTTCTCTGACTCAGCAGCATTAGCTTAGGGACTGGTGGCTAAAACTGAGCTTGGCTCGTGCTGAATAGGTGTCTTGGCTATGAATAACGCTCACTTGCAGCCCTTTATAAGCCAGCAATGTTCAGCCATGTTTCATTACAACACGATTGTCCCACGATGCTCGCTGCCTGATGTCGACAGAGGACGAGCCCTTGCCTGACTCCAAGTTGGCTCCAGTCGACTTGGGGTGTCCCTGTCAGTCATATGGGGGCTGCAAGAACGCTGGCGAGCGACCGGAAGGGTCAAGGACAGGGCTAGACCAGGCGGCCCCGTTTGACCAAAGAGAGGATCGACCAGTTCATTCTCAAACTGGCCGTGACGTCACGAACCACCACTGCATACCGCATCAAGGGCGAACTACGGGTGGCAGCCAATGTCCACGTGTCGACGAAATTCTGAGGAACCGTCTCCGTAGAGCCAGGTTCGCTTCTCGTGTCCCTGCCAGACGCCCAAGACACACACCGCCCCACAAAGCAGTTGGCCGCGCGTGGTGTGCTCACCATTCACTGTGGACACGACGTCAGTGGGACCAGGTAGTCTTCTCGGACCAATTCAGATTCAAACTGCTGCACCCAGACAGGCAAGCCCACGTCTGGAGGCGCTGATAAGAGCTGTGCCACCCTGACTGCATCCAGCAAGTGGCGCCCTTCGGTGGAGAGTTGGTTACGGTGTGGGAAGGCTTCTAAACTCACCACAGGAACCCCCCGTCCCCCCGCTTCTGAACCATATGCAGGGCAATTTGACCACGGCAAGGTACAGGAACAAAATCCTGCGTTCCCTTGATGTTTCTCACCTGCTGCAGATTGGACCCCAGACTGTTCTGCTGGACGACAACGCCACGCCACATCGCGCACGCATGGGGGAGGGGGGGGGGGACTTCCTGCAGCAGTGAGGTGTTATCTGCATGGACTGGCCAGCGTGTAGTCAGGATTTGAACCCAAAAGAGAACATCTGGGACCACATTGGCGTGCTGATAAGGGACAACCACCCTCCTGCACAAAACCTTCAACAATGCTTGCACTCCCTCGTTCAGGAGTGGCAGAACCTACCGCAACAAGTTCTCCGAAGGCATGTGCTGTCCATGCGTCGATGCTGTACTGAGTGTTTGATCAAACAAGGTGGCTACACCCACTATTGACAATGTTCATGAAGAACTCTGGCTGTTCAGATTTTTGAAATCCTACCACTGAAATTTAAACTAATTTTACATTTCTCGTTGTTGCTGAAATCTGAAATTGTACACACTTAATCTAGAGAGTCGAAATTGTCTTTTTGAAA